ATACAGGTCAATGGCAGCCATCCCCAGAACTCTTTTCTCTTGCAAAATTGAAACTAATCTATTAAACAATAACTCCCTATTCTCCTCCCACCAATTCTACTTTCTGTCTCTACAAATTTACTGCTCTAGGTACTTCATGTAAGTGGAATCATACAGTATTTGTCCTTTTGGGATGACCTATTTCATATAGCAAAATGTCCTCAAGATTCATCTATGTTGTAGCATGTGTCAGAATTTCTTCCTTTTTAAGGTCAAATAATATTACATTGTAAAGTGTTGATAAGGAATTGCTACAACAGAGATGAAGCTGTTACCATTTCAACCTAGTGGTCAATCACTGGATCCCTGGAAAGTAGGAAAAGTAAACATTACGTACCTCCTGATATGAATCTATGAAGAATTCATACCCAAAAACATTGGGACTAATTCTGATTAAGATACTTAGAGGCTTCAGTATCTAACACAGTTACTATGGCCCATGTAGATATTTAAATTTAAAATGTAAAAAAAAAAACAACTCATCTTCTTCATCCCAACAGCCACATTTCAAGTACCGGAAAGCCACATGTAGTCGTTAGATAGTGCATATGCAGAACATTTCCATCATTGCAAGAGTATTATTGGATGGTGCTCTTCTGTACCTAATTCCATTTAAAAGAAATGTGGAGGAGAGGGGATAAAGTAACAAGTTAAATGACACCATCAAGAAGTGAACAGACAAGTTCAGAAAATAGGGCATTTTACAGAACAATAGTACCTGGCAGGAGGCAAAGGGGAGAGAGGGGGAAACTATGCTAGATTTTAAAAGACTTAATATATGAAATGTCCAAAAAGTAAAATTTATGCAAATAGTAGATCGGTGGCTGCCTGAGGCTTAAAGTGGGAGCAGGGATTGACTGCAAATGGGCTAGAAGAAATTTTGAAGGGTAATGGTAATGTTCTAAAACTCGATTATGATGATAGTTGCCCAACTCTACAAGTTTACTAATGTTACTGAATTGTCTAAAAAAGAAAAAAGTCATAAGACAACTCTGCTCTATGAATCTTGTTTGGACCTGACTCTAACTCTAAAGACATTTTTGAGATAGACAAATAACTTTGATTATGGATTAGATAATACTAAAAAATATCGTTTATTTCTTTGGGTACAAATAATAACATAATAATATCTTTGTCCATATTTTTATAGATGTGTATTAAAATATTTGTAATGTCTGAGATATGCTTTAATATACTAGGACATATTTTTTAAATGGGAAAAACAATGAAGCAAATAGGATAAAAATCTTGAAAGTATTGAATCTAGGTGATGAATATATGGTAGTTCATTGTACTTTTTTTCTATATTTGAATATGTTTAAAGTATTTTATAGTTTAAAAGATTAATGGTTACTATAATACCCTCTCATGGTCAATACCATAAACCAAGGCAATAATGAGCTTGTGTGATTTCCCAGTATTGCCAGCAACTAACACACCAGGTTATTCTAACTTTCAGTTTTTAAAATTACTACAAGTCTCCAAAGCAAAATTTAATTGCTTACTTTTAAGTCACTATTTGAAACTTCAAAACTTTATATAAACCCACTCTGTCTTTTTATTTGTTTATTATTTGTGGTGGGGGAAGTTGGGATGGGATAGGAGGTATATGTATATATTTTTTTCCTACCAGCTCAATTTAGCCTCTGCTCATTGCATACTTTACACTACACAGGCCATGAAATAAATCCATCAGCATTCTCAGTAACTACAGTAACTAGCCTGTGATAAATAGGCCTGGCACTAGTGCAATGTATTTAAGCCCTTTCAACAGCTTTTTCTTTGTGCACATCTGCAGCATCTGCAGGCTTTCCATGCACATCTGCATACAGAATCCACCACCATAATCTGCATTATAAGTAACGTTAGCAGTACATCTGACAGGTCCACAGAGTGTTGATGTATAACTGGTTTTGAGATCCACAGGGAACTAAGGATACCCTGGGGAGAAAGTGAGGCTAATTTCAGATCAGGCACTGGACAAGCTGTACGTGGTAAGACACTTGTTCTGCTGAAATAGCTATGACATCGCTGGAGGAAAATCTTAGTGTACATGTATGTGTGTGTGTTATATACACACACATTTACTTCAAGTCATAGTTTCTCTCCTCTTGCACTCCTTACCACATCCCTCATATACCCACTCTAAATGACCGAGGCATAGCCCAAACATTTACATACAGATACATTTTAAACCCTTAGATAAAAAAGTTACCACTGACGGAAAATCACTGAAGCATGGATTCTAGTAGTGATGTATAACAAGCACAGAAATATTAGATCTGAACTACACATCCGTCTCATTCTATTCTCTTGGTAGTTAAGACTTTCTTCTTCTTCCCCATCCTGTCCCATTAAAAATGTTTTTACATTAAAATCTAGATAGAAACCTCAGGACTAGGCCAAGTTCCTACTTACAGGCATTTCTTCAAAAGCCTTCAGGGACACTCACTGTCCACTTTCATTGTTCTATTCCACAGCTAAAGCACAGAATGGCGCCCCATGAAACTCAGCAAGAAGCAGGGCAACTTTATTCTATACCCTAGAATGCTATGAGCCAGCACTGTCCAATAAAGCTTTCTGCGATGATGTCCAATATAATAAACACAAGCCGCATGTGGGTTTTGAGTACTTAACATGTGGCTATTGTGACTGAGAAAGAGAACTATTGATTTTATCTAACTTAAATTTAAATAGCCACATGGTGCTGGTGGCTACCATACTGGACAGTGTTGCAGTAACTGAAAGACTTTCATTTGTTGTGTTTTCACTCGAAAGACTTTTTATACAAAAAAATTCTTTAAAATAGTTCTCTCTCTGTCTCTCTCATCTACACACACACACACACACACACACACACACACAGAGAGAGAGAGAGAGAGATACATAAATCTTAATAGTGCTTAACTCTGGGTGAGCATCTATAGAGTCAGACATTCAAATATATTCTGAGTGAATAAACATGCTTATATTTAACAATTTTACAATAAACAGGTAATATTTAAAAATCAGAAAAAGCTATAAACAAATATAGTCATTAAAACTATGCATATGAAGATATATACTAATATGAAAAATAAACAGAAGCAAAATACAAAACGAAATACAAAATGCCATCTGTGTTTTTGGCCATAAATACTAAAAAATTAGGTAGGTATATGTCAAAGGATTGTAAGGGAACATAACCCATGAACATAACCAGATGGAATAACAGGGTATAAATGGATTTTATTCATGTTGAGTTACATGAACATTTGTATATAAGTGAAGTCTTAGGAAAAAAATAAAGGTTGAAGAGCAATGTAATTTAAAGGACTGAGTGTAGGAATAATCTCATAAAACTTGAATGTTGGGAGCAAATAACTACCCATATGAATGGCAACCTGAGGGCTGAGGATATATGGAGGCTGAAAGAATTCCAGTCGCGGCCTACAGTGGGAGATGTAACTAGAACTGAGAAATCCATGACTAAGAAAAAGGGGAAATGAAAGCTTGTAAATGAGAATAAGAGAGTTAATGAGGAATAATGTTAATATTCAGTCAGTGAAAGACTTAACGTTTTTCCAAGGCCATTGGCTGAGAGGCCAGAAAGGCTCAACATTGCTTTCCAGATGTGACCCATTCCTGAGGTCAGCATCAGTCATACTTAATTCACCTGGACAACTGAAGCAATTGAAACTGTGGTTCTCAAACTGTAAAATGAGATTCCTAAGCTCCATTCCCAGAGACTGAGAAATACTGATTTAAAAGAATAACTTGATCTAAATGTCTGGTATAGAAAAAAGGGTATGAACACTCTGAAGCTCTTTATGGATAAAATCTGTCTTCTATTTAAGATGATTAAACAAGTTTTTGTCAGTTTGAGATGGAGTCTCACTTTGTCACCCAGGCTGGAGGGCAGTGGCACGATCTTAGTTTGCTGCAACCTCTGCCTCCTGCGTTCAAGCGATTCTCCTGCCTCAGCCTCCCAAGCAGCTGGGATTACAGGCGGACACCAACATGCCTGGCTAATCTTTGTATTTTTAGTAGAGATGGGGTTTCACCATGTTAGCCAGCCTGGTCTTGAACTCCTGACCTCAAGCGATCTATCTGCCTTGGGCTCCCAAAGTGCTGGGATTACAGGTGTGAGCCACTGCACCTGGCCTAAACAAGTTTTTTTTGATGACTTGGGGAACTTCAGTGCCTCTGAGCATAGCCCCTTAATTGTTTCATAGAATTTAATAAAGAAGGAGGACTGGAAAAGCTGTCTTTAAACATGTGAGGACCTGTCAGGCAATAAAGGTTTAAGACTTGCTTTGTGGGACATCAAGGATAAGCCAGAAGGGGGATGGTTTCAGTTTGGTATCAGGATGTTTTAGAAGAAAGGGGACCCCATAGAAGGTGGTGGGCATCCTCTTCGTAAGCTATGCTAAATGACAATTTGGTCTATAATTTGCATGAATAATTTAACCAGCAACAGTAAGATTAGATGACCAGTAACCTCCCTTTCTACCTTGATACAGCCTACCTGACACCTGGTAGAATTTACTACTATTACAAAATAGAACTCAAAGTTCATTTCAAAGTATTTTATTTTACATATAACTGCTTCATAGTGATTACATAAGCAACTTACATTAATATGATTTTTACTTTTGCATGGAAAATTATTTGACTCCTCTCTCATTTTTCTGGTACCTAAAGTCAAAATTGATATTGCATTTCCGTCTCACCATTCCAGAATCATTTATTCAACAAATAATTTTTGCCATCTAACAAGTGTCAGGCATCATGCATTCAGGCCAGAAAATAGCTAAACTAATCATCAAGACACACAAATTAAGAAACAAAAGTCCTGAATGTTATTCTCCCCAAACTCAGGTTTCATTGACTCAATCTATCCCTGTGCTCCAGGGCAGACTTTCCTGGATTACACTCCTAGAGACCCCCCCAGTTTTCCCTCTTACCCTCATCCCCATTACCTGAGAGGTGCTTGAGCAATATGTCCAGCTGCTGCTTCTCCCCAGACCTGACCCCAAGTGCAGGTGTTTCTGATGCTGCGAAGATTGGGGGCCAGGAGGATGAGGATTGCCTGTCTAGGAGGGAAAACAGAATAATGGGATTACCATAGGAAGGAAGAAGAAAACTCAGGGCAGGATATTACACAGTAAGAATGAACTCTGGGAATTTTAAAGCAGAGGACTAGAGCTAGGAAAGGAAAAGGGGTGGGGTTTTTTTTGTTGTTTTGTTTTTTTTTAACAAGTCCTACTGGAACACCAGAAAACAAAGGTGACTCGGGAGGCCAGGGCTTGGGCTTCGTGTAGGAGAAGTCAACCATCCCTAAAGGTACCTCTTTATATTTAGCAGCTGTGTGGCAATCAACCCCTCAGGAAACTTGTAGGCTATCACTCTAGAAAAGATGATGTTTAAAGACGGGGCTTTTGGGAAGGGAAGCAATCACTACTGGTACGTTTTTTCTTTTGTTATTGTGAAATATGTCCAAGAAATAAGCATGTATAATATACAGTGTAAAGAACAAGGAAACAAACATCTGTGTTCCCACCTCCCAAAGAAAGAATATTTTCTTCACCCCTCTTGCTCCAGCTCCTTGAGCATTCCCAAACAATTAAAGTAGATTCTTTTCAGGTGTATATAATTTCCTTAAACTGCAGAAGGCCCCTGTGCAAATTCTACCCACAACATCACTCTTGCGTCTTACTGCTTAAAAGTTCTTTTCATGAATTAGGATAAAAGCATTCTTTCTATACTAAAATTAAAGAGTTTAAAATAGAAAGTTAGCATATTGCTGTAAGTCTACTTAGTCAAAATGTAAATGATCTCAGCTAATTTTCTATTTTAATAGGGGAAGGAATTTGAAAGATAAGGTCCTATAATCTTGAAAATATTGAGGGAGGAAGAAAGCTGACAGCTCAACAAAAACTTCACATACTTCACCAGTTTCCCCTGGACTTGAACAATTAGCCTTCATGCACACACAAAGAGTGGTTAGGAGCAGAGATACTTCTTGGTCTGTGGACCTATGCTCACCTGAGCAGCCACTAGGCTGCCCATTCTTGTCATTCTCCCATGTGGTCACAAACACCTGGCATTGCCTTGGCAACGAAATAAATATGCCGGAACTACCCCCTCAGGCTTCTAAGTCATTGGCCATTTGTTCCACTAACTTTACATAAGAAACTGGTACTTTTTGAATCTAATCAATTCAACCAAAATTTACTGAGTGCTTCCTATACGAGCATATGTCTAGGTTGTCTATTTTCTCTCTAATTTCTCCTTTTCAGTTAGATGACAAACAAACCCAAGGGAAAGCCTAGCATCTAGCTCCCCTCTCCCTGCTTTTATTTTCTTAGTTGTTTAAGGATAGGAATGAGAATTCTTTTGCACAGCCACGTTTGTCTATAAGAAGTTATATCCTTGCATGTTCCAATTCTTCTTTCCTACTCTGTAAAACAATTCCTACAGAGTCCCAATCCTTTCCCTGGGTCCTATTACAAGGAAGCTAGTGACATCGTCAGTGGCAGCAGCTCTTCAGCAGAGCATTGATATCATGAGCTTACCTTTTCACCACCTTAACACAACGCTAACTTGACTCAGAATCAGAGCCCCTATCTCCAGAAAAAAAAGGGACAAGAAACAGATTAGACAAAGACCAGTCCAGGTATTTGATTATGTTTAAGCTGAGTTGTCCCATTAGTAGAAATGGTCAGCACTGGGAAAGAGCTTCAGATTTTAGATGAGGAAATAGAAATACACAGCTGCTAAGTGACAGAACTAAAAATACAGCCAGGTAATGGATGACCAAGGACTATAACTATGTTTTCCAAACCATGCATTTCCTCTGGGTTCCCAAATATAGCAGAGTTATGACTGGACAAGGATTGTTCTTCTATAATTAAAAAACAAACCACCTCTCTGAGAAGCAATGGTCTCCTAACCTGAACCCAAAACAACCTCTATCAGAAGCTCACAGTGCTTCCTCTGGAGTTCTTCTGCCTAAGGAGAAAATTCTGATCATCACTCTTCAAATTTAAAATGGCTTATGGCACATAACCAGTTCTCAGAGAAACCACTAGGTTTAAAATGAAAATGAAGCTCTTAAGTCTTCCAACAGGGAAATCTCAGATAGCTGGTTTCCTGGCAAGTGTGTGCTCCTCCCTTCATTGTGGGAGACAATCCAGTCACTGGAGTTTCTAAAAGAGGCATATTAACTCTTCCAAGATAATAGGGCATCATTTACTAAATTACCTTTTTGAAGACATTACATGGTACCCCAGTTCTTTGGAAAAGGTAATTAGCTTCCCATGGGTGACTAGTTTACTCCAAGTGAGCACTGTGCTCATCAGAGGATAAGGATGATCTCTTTTTGTGGGAATAAAAGCATTATCTTGCTTGTCAGGAGTGATTTAATTTTTACCTTAATAATGAGGTAAGCTCTTTACTATATGTATTTTTAGTTGGTAACTACCCCACCATGATGATAGATCATAGCAAGTGAAATAAGCTGGGAGCTTTAACACCAGCACATCTTATCTAAAATCAACTTCATAAGCATCTGTTACACACCTAATATGTGTCAGAGTCTATGCTAGATATTGGGGAATCACATTGCTCAAATATATCCATTCAAGGAATATCAGAGATAGTAAAACACTATATCAGATTATGAATGGCTATTAAAGTGAGTCTGGCAAGTGGCCCACCATGTCTAACCCTGGCCATCAGAGACTTGAATCTGGTTAATGATTCCACATTGAAGAGGCTAGTGGAGAATTCAGTAAGAATATATATAAATACAAGAAACATACTTTATAGATCTGAAAATAAGAGCCACAGGGAAAGGTCAAAATAATTTCAACAGAATAAAACAAAAGTGGAGAATAAAATCCTAGAGGGTGACCTTGTTATCCTATAAGACCCAGTTCCTCCAGGAAGCCTGGCCAGGAATTCTACCCCACAATGATCTCCTGCTTCTCTGAGTTTCCATTGCATTTGAGACATAGATCAGAGTACTTAGAACTTGATCAATCCATTATAAATTGCCTTGTATGGTTTTCTTTTTAAAATATATTTGTCTTATCTCCCCAATTATATGATAAACTCCTTGAAGAGCTTGGATGTTATATATTTCTCTGGTACCCCCACCTACATGCCTTGCCAACAAGCACACACAAAAAATTGTTGACTTACATGTAAGTATGGAAAACATGTTAAATGAGAAAACTAAGAGTATTTATCACTGAGAAAATAAGATTATGGCAGAGATATGTTCTATTCACCAGGTATTCATGTGTTCCACATTTGCCAGTCCTCCTGCAATCAGGGGAAGCTTTGTAATTATTTCTTACTTACTGGACCTTGAGTAGAAGTTTCTAGACGAAAGTACTAAGAACCAGTTTAAACTTCCAGTTTGTTCCTCCTCCCAAAAAGACCATGGAAACCCCATAATGGGGTGATTAAGTCACAACATGAAACCTGCTTGGATCACTGGACATGGAGAGGAGCTCTCCTAGAGATTCGCTTCACTCACAGTGACATTTGTGTGAGCAAGAAAAAAATATCCTAGTTGTGTTAAGCCAGAGGAATAAATTTTATCTAGTACCATAGCATAGCTTATGGGTATTAGGCTGACTGGTATTAATATATAAAAGAAGACTAAAAAGAAAAAATCATTTCAGTAGTAAGAGCTGTGACATGAAGTCTTTCCTGAGGTAAGACTATAGAAAGAACCAGGAGACAAGAGACAGACTAGGCTCAGTGAAAGGAAGGACTCTGGCAGGCCAATGAAAGGCAACTACCTTGCATTCAAACAGAGCCTGCAAGTCCACTTGGTGAGAAATAAAAGAGGGACAACTGTGGTCAGGAAATTTGAATGAGATGATTTCAAAGGTCCCTTCAAATGCTAAGATTTTATGATCTGTGATTGGCACTGGATTCCTAATATGTGGAGGCCAGAAAAATGACATGCAGTTTATGCTAAGTTGTAATTCTTTTAATAATACATAAAAGCACCATCAAAATATCTCCCTATAAAATCTTGCAGGGACAGACAAGAAAAGCACCAAAAGACTCAAGATCCTCTTCCTTCCACTGTCCATCTACAATGCCACCCCTTTCAAAGCAGCCCGAGAGCTATTTCACAAGTTTCTTGCCACCTCAGCCCAGAGCTTGTGTCACAAGGAGACAACTTCATTGATAAAGATTTCTTACGGGATTAAGAGTCTTCTCGGTGGCTGAGCTATCTTAAATTAACCTCTGGAAAGAGGGTGAGGTTCCATAGGACAGGAGTGTTTCTAGACTCTTGAAACCATGTGTTATTTTGATGCAGTTATCACGTCCTATCAAAGCATCTCTTTTTAAATTACAAGGGTGGACTGTTAAACTTCTAAGTAAAGATATTTAGTTTTATTCCCTGAAAATATTTTAACAATAGAGGAAATGTCTATATGTTACACACACAATGGTAATGCTTAATGACCCAAAAATGTAACTTAAAGAATGATCTCTGCCACTTATTAGGGATATGACCTTTGGCAAGTTACTTAGCCTTCGTGAGTCTCAATTTCTTCCTCTATACAACAGGGATTAAAATATCTACTTCATAATGGTGCCATGATTCAAATGAGACAACGAGCTGTGTAAACTAAAAGATGGAGTTCAAATGCAAGGTACTGGAGTGGAAGTAATGAAATAATACCCTCTAAAAATGTTATTTTTGAAATCAATATCAGAGTACCTAAGCATTAAGATAATAGACTAATAAAGATAATTAATAAAGCAAGGGTAGCAAAAAGAGAGACCAGTTCAGCTTCACTTAACTCATTCAGAATTGTGCAATTGGCAAATCTAAAAAGAACTTATTTTAATTTCAGTATATCTATGTTTTGTTTTATAATTTAATGTTTTTATTTTTAATTTCTTAAGGATCACATATAATCTTTTCCGTGTTAAAGAGCATCTATAGTTCTTAATCTGACCTTGAGTTTATCTTAAATAGATTCAATAAAAACCAGGAGGAGCAAAAGTACATAAAGCCCTGTGACATTTCAGTGAAAGATACAAAGAACATATACTCTGTATGTCATGTGGATTAATTATATATTTCCTCATTGAATTACTTCAACACAGAACCGAGAGGGATTGTGGCAGCATGAGCAACTGCAACAAGTATATCTCAAATACACTTGTATCTCAAATCCAGTATGGGTCTGAAGTTCAGACCCATATACTAGATATTTGATCATGTGGATGGAAGATGCAGCTTAACTGTACAAACAACTAATTATGCCTGCTTAAGGACAGACAACTAATGAGCGCAGGGCTCAGAAGGCCAAGGGTGTGAAGTGCAGTCCCCATGCCATCACTTGTATAGCACGTATGACATCATCAATATCAAAAGATGGCCCTCTGTGTAGCCCATACCCAAAACTCCTTAATAGCACTTTTTAGTAAGTCTTCTAAATCCATGCCTTGTTTTGATAGTGCACACATTAGAAAGAGCCAAAGGCATTGTTCCGTGTCTCTCCGTAATGGCCACATGCTAAATTGGCCATGGTTCCTATACCAAAAGCTCTGTACTGAAGAGACTTAGCAGAAAGCCAGGCAGGGGGTGCCCCCCTTTGTTGCAGCTTTCATTTTTAAAATAAGTCATAATTTCTGCATTGGATACAAAGATGGGTTTACAGCTATTAGCCATCATATTAATAATTTAGAAAATACATGCCCAATCACTTACGTCTTTTCAATTCCCTATGAACACAGCTGCAACCCACATTAGAAGTGAGGGTGAATGGATATGTTTCAGATGAGATATTTGGGCTGAATTATTGGGTAGCCTGTACTACAAAATTACTAATAAACATTTCTTCTGGCTCAATTTAGCCTGAACTCTGTGAACCTAGCCAATGGTGACAAATCAAAAACTCCGAAATGCCCAGTGAATGAATCTAACTAATCAAGGAACCCTGTAGGAAGTAGATGCCAGGATTAACGAGCCAGTAGTTTCACCATGCCATGCTGTTATTTCTTCACATAAATGCCCTCAGATGAGATTATCTTTATGTCATGAAAAGGAGAAAAGGAAGGTTACATTATTTCAACTGACAGGTTAACTACTGCCATTACTAGAATACACATATTTGTGGGCTAAGTTTTTTGTTTATCCTAAAAAAGTAAATGTAAGGTCCACAATATAAATTTAAAACACATTTACATTTTGAGGAAAAGCTGTCATTGGGGGCACCAAACATAAATTGCCCCAAAGTTAGAATTTCCTCTGCATGTCTGTATGCACATCTACCTTGATTTACCCAAACTGCTCTGCATGCTGTTTTGCATTCAATAGCTAACATTGTCTTCAGCAGGTTGCATTCCCACATCATATTTCTTCCACCATCAACAAAAGATAATCTAAGTGCAACATCATTACTATGCCATCCCTTGTATGGCATGTATGATGTTTAGTACCAATTCTGAGGGAAAAAAAATAAAGATACAAGAATGAACTTGTATATTAAAATAAATTAATCATATGGTTACATCATAATGGATTTAGTGTTTCCAGTTAGTATGTGGTGACAGTATTCAATACCAAACAAGGTACTCAGCAAAAAGTACAATTACTAGAGGCAACATCTAGCATGTTGGACTTACCTGCTTTGTGTTCTGATACTATTCAATGTTAGTGTCTTGATTCCCTTGTTAAATTTAATTAATTATTATTAGAGCTTTAACAATTTTGAGTCAGAATTGCTGTTAATGATGAGTAAAAAAAAAAGAAGCATTATTCTGTTGTTAGATTTCTCCCTCAAAAAGCAGAAATCTTTTAGGATTGTGATTGAGATTCTTATTCTCCTCTTTTTATCTTTGCTAAACTGTCAACCTTAACAATTTAGGCCAGCTTGCCTTCCTTTAACCTAATGGCATATATGACTTTAAAATGTTCAGGATTCTTAATACAAAAATCTATTGCTATAGAAACAAATGTTAGCCCAGAGTCAGGTCAAGTGAAAAACTCTATATAGTTTCATTATAATATTGATAAATAAACACTCCATTATGAAATATAAGTATCTTTGAAAGCATCTATCATTTGAGTTGATTTGCAACTTCTCATCAGTGTTCTGAGTTGGCTCATTTTTTTCCAATGAAAGATCCCATTTCCCTTGCCTTTGAGAAATACAATTTTTAAAGATTCCATTTAGCATCCTTTATTGCATTCCTACATCATAAAGTTATGCTTTATAGCAGCATAAAAAGCTGTAAAATTAGCATCCTTGTAAACAACGTTCCATGAGCACTGGTGAAGCAATCTGTAATTTGTACTGATCTCTTAAATGTGACTTGAGATTACAGTATCCACGATTTCATTTTTTTAAAGAACATTAAAATAAGAGAGAATATGACAAAATGTAAAAACAAGGAAAAGTCTTTTTCATCAACTCATATTTTAGAAATTTGGTGCTTGTGTGCTGCTAAATTCTTGGATGAGTTCTCAAATACAGAAATGTTCCATTCTTGTATGAAATTCAAAATGAGCATGTTTTCTCTTAATATTTTAATGTTATACTAAAAATAGTCTTTAGAAAATGTAGAACTGAAATATCCTGTGAACCCACCCACCAATTTATCTCTAATTAAAATTCCTAAGGTAACATGAACAGATTTATTTTTATCATCAAGAATCATAGCTTTTTATTCTCATCTCTGAGATTCCATTGTGTTCTCTTAGTTGAGTAACGATTACAACAGCTCCTCAAATTCACATGTAGCCCAGACGTATTTTAGCACGAGGGTGTTTTTTAGGGTTTACACTCTGAGGCAACCAAATGAGAAGTCTTCCCGTGGGAAAAGGGGTGCCCTCTAAATGCCTATAATGACCATTAAATTTCAAACCACAAGATTGATTTTGGTTAGCCCTCCCAAAGAAGCCTGTGATATCGATTTGCCTCCAAGTTTAAAACACACTGCAACCTTCCCCTCGGCCGACGGAAAAAACAGTATTTTTTTCCCCTATGCCTTTGGGGCAGTTCCCTGAGCACGTGGCTGAATTCGAGGTTAGCACACAGCCAGCAGGAACCCTGAGAGGAAACCAGAGCAGCCCCGGGGTGGGGGAAAGCCCTGACAGGCGCTGGTCGTCCCGGACACGCCTCTTCTGTAGAAGCATATTTGCCGCTATCGGGAGGCCCCGGGTATCTGAAGCGGAGCCTGGGTCTGGGGACTTGAGGGGCGCCGTCACCTGAGGGAAGGCCCCAACGAGGCCTAGGCCCTGGGGGGAGGCAAGAGCCAGGGCCTTGCTTCCAGCTGGTACCTGGGATCTGAGACGGCTGGGGCGGTGCCGGAGGGCAGAGCTCGCGGCTCAGAAGGCCGAGGGTGCGAACTGTGATCCCCTTCCTCTCGCTGCAGCCCCATCACGCGCACGCAACCCGCGAGAGGCGCCCTCCGCGCCACTGCCCCAGGGACACCGTTCATCCGAGAAACTCTCGGGCCCTGCGTTTCGCGCCGACAGCGACGCTCAGAGCCCCACCTCAGCCTCTGAAGCCTAGGTTGGCCGAGAAGCCTCAAGAGGCTCCAAGCTCGCACGCGAGGCGCTAGCAGCCAGGCCCCAGCTCGCCTCCCCGCCGCGGAGACTTGACCGTGCCCCCAGAAACAGAACCCAAGCCCACCGCAGGGTGAAGGGCCCACGTGACCTGGACGCCCGGTCCCAGCCAACTGCCTCGAATATGACCATTCCCAAGACTGGCCCCTCCTCCCACGAGACCCCTCCCGCCGTTCGAGGTCACACCAAAACCCATCATTCTCTATGTCACATACTGAAAATGATTTTATTTTATCGATTTACATTTAACTTGATATAAACTTGTCCGGAAAAGTCAAATAATATGCTTTATATTAGCTCAAACATTTATTAAGAAAACCGAATTCCATAAATAAACACAGACATTCAGTTAAAACATATCACAAATTGACCAGTATGTAACAAGAATGCTTTATCTACACAAAACATCCTATTTCACATATTTGTTCATTCTTAGAAAGCGCTTCTGTTCTCTGGGTTTGGATTTGACCAGCACATGCAGAAAGAGCTGATTGTGTTTCTCTGTACAAAGTTGCAGGGTTGTAGATGTCCGAGTGCCTCCATCGGCGGCCGGCAGGTGGCCGAGGGGCACGAGGGACGACAGGACCACCACAAAACAACCAAGGGCACAGAGCAGCGAGAAGAGAGAAACCGAAAAGGAAGCAAACAAACCCCAGTCCTGAAGGATCCAGAAAAGAGATGTGACTTTTGCTTTTACAAAAGAAAATTCTGCTTACATGTTTATTTTATTCCTCCTTATAAAGACCTATCAAAATGGGTCAGATCACCTCTCCCTCGTCACATGACTGTTTTAGTCTACTCCAGCCACCCAATCCACTGTCGCGTTCCTCCGGAGAAGCCTTCCCTTCTACACCCTCACACAATTGTGCGTAAGAAAATAAAAATCAGATAAAATAAAAATAAAAGCGTTCTCTTGCAAGCCAAGAGAGGGCTCCACGGATGTGACCGGGTGGACTGGGCAAGGGTAGGGTGGTGGGAAAGGAAAGAAAGGAGCTCGAAGAGTACAAGGACAAATCAAAGTATAGCAGTTGGGCCCTCAGATGAGGCGGTTGGTAGCAGATGCTTGTCCTCCTTTAAGACAAAAATCCCTAACATTGTGCTGTCCCTTGAACACGTCCGTGTGTGACCTAGGTGTCTGTGCGCGTGTGTGTGTAGCGTCTGAGCGTGAGCGAGTGCGAGTGTGTGTGTTTCTGCCCACAAACCAGTCCATTGGTGTCTGATTTCAGATCCTGAGTCGACTCCCTGGTATGTAAAATGGCGGGAAGGATGCTTTTGCCGGGCGCGGGAGGAGGGCGCAAAGTGTGGGAACGGAGAGGAGGCGGCTGGCGAGGGGGGTGGTAGGCGTCGCGTCGAAGGTGTGGGTGGGAACGCCGCCAGGCAGAAGGCCGGGAGAAGGGCACGAGCACGTCCAGCGCGAGCGGGGAGTCCGGGATGGCGGGAAGGGTGGGCTGAGGCGCTGGAGACCGGGCCTAGGGGGCACCTGGGTGGGGAGGGAAGAGGGGCGGCCGGGAGACCAGGGACCGCGGGCGAGCGAAACCAGGCGGAGGGGAGGCCTCGCGGGCTGGGGCTAGGGGTGAGCCCGAGCGAGTGTAGGAGAGGGGCGAGGACTAAACGAGACAGGGCGGAAAACAGGGGCGGGACAGGGCAGAGCGCCGGGGTCCGGGCGCGCGCCGGAAGGGCCTCGGGGCGGCCCCGGGGGCGGTGCTGGGGGCGGAGCGGGCCGGAGCGCGGCTGCATTAAGTGAAGCTCATAGAGACTGTGTGCTCTAGCGCCTTGCGGCGGAGGGAGGCGATGCTCGTGCCCCGCCACACGTCGCTGCTGTCCGGGGAGCTGCAGAGCTGGGGCGAACCGGAGACGTTGCTGGGACCGGGGAGGGAGGCGGGCACCATGCCGGGGAAGGCGGGCTGGTAGAGGTGCGACTGCAGCCCCGCACCGTTGGAACCCGCCAGGCTGTTGGACAGGCCCATGGAGTTGGGCGGCGGCCCGGCAGCCAGGCTGCACTGGGACAGCGACTGCGCCATGGCCTGTTGCCTGCCCAGCGCCGGCGGCAGCGGCAGCTGCGACACGCCCGGCATGGCGGCCGCCGCCCAGCGGGTGTCGTTGGCGTGGAAAGAGCACAGGCTGTCGCCCATGGCGGCGGCGGCGGCGGCGGCAGCCGAAGGAAACTGAGGCAGGCCTGGCGTGGGCAGCAGCGTGCCGGGCGCGCGGAACACGTTGGTCGTCTTCTTGCGCTTCTTCCACTTGGCTCGCCGGTTCTGGAACCAGACCTGGAGCGGGAGGGGCGGGAGACAGGGCGCTATTAGTCGGCCGGGCAGCCGGGGAGCTGGGGCGGATACAGCCGCTCTGCCCCAGGAGAAACAAGTGCCATCGGCCCGACACACCCCCAAACCCAGTCGGAGCCGTGGCTCCCCACCAGCTCCTGGCAGCTGGCGCCCCCTGCATCCACCAAGCGCAGAGTCCCGTGCTCCTGAGAACTCGTGCCCCGCAGCGTTCACGCACTGTGCAAACACACCAAGGTGTGGTCTTCACCACGCCCCTGCACATTCTATGCACTGCACAGATTCACAGGTCTGCAGTCAGGCATGTGTCAAAGCTCGACCCACAGGTGTACAAATGAAGATAAACGTGTACCCATGTGGCTTAATAGCATGCCTTATAACACTGATAGGCTATAGAATTTTCAGAAACACTGGAAATTTGGAAATTGATGAGGGGCCGTGGATGAGATAGTTTCAAAATCGAAAGACAAAGGAAAACCCCTAACGCCACGGTTGACAGGCGGAGAGGTTAATATAGTGATCTGCGTGGGAAAGTGAGCGCCACTGAGCTACAGTGTGGTTTGGGTCTCCACCGTGACTTCTGATTCCCATACTGCTTGGTGCTACTGCCACAACTCTCCGTGCCTCATTCCCAGACCGTTCTATGAACACCTTCGTCTGGGCTGTACGAGTGTCCTGGAACATGCTGCAGAAGCCCTGAGCCCCAGGGGCCTTCAAGTCTATTCTTTTCAGGAACTTACTAAGGATCCCAAGTAACAAGGCCTCCGATTCCCTCAGGTTGCCCCATTTCATCTATAAACTAAAAGCAGATGTTCGAACCAATACGAATTAAAGGAGGTCACATTTCACCACGCGACATATGAGTCAAATTTAATTTTGCTTCGACAAACCCAAATGTCCTTTTTCAGGGAAATAAGTTTAATAAAATATACTCCAAATGAAAATAGCCTTCTATTCTCTTTTTTCTTAACAGTGGCTCAGGAATTTCAGACCCTACCAGGCAAATTTGCCTAGGTATGTCAAACTCTTTATCACAGAAGAAGAGTTCTGCCTGAAAGATATCACATAAGCTGCCAGTCCAAGATAACTCCCATTTCCCCCTATTTGAATGTGATCTCTTTAAATGACAATAATAATAGTAATTTGCCAGCAGGCCTGCTTGGAAGACTTGCAATTTAAAGTCTAGTCAGCTGGAGTTTACTGTGCCTAAATATAAATGATGTGGGACACAGCTCAGGTACTGATTGAGTTTCCTCTTAGAATTTGGCCAACACAATTTGACCACCATATCCGTGGCCAAAAAGGTTGTTCATCCGTTAATCTAACCTATTTAGTGTTTACTCTGCAAGCTAAAATATCAGATAAAATATACTTTTTATATATTAGGGGTATGAACATACCTGCCCTCGGTCTCGGTGAGCCAGCAATGTTCAGCGGTGTGTTCATGCCCAGGCAAGCATAGACTTACTCTATGCTTAACGGCACTGCCGTCTAGAATACTCCCTCAGCTTTGGGCCGGCCCTCGCCTTTCTACCGTGCCTGCGCCATCACCTACCACTTTCTTCCTGTGGTTTCTATCCCATTTCTCAGATTGCTGCGTATCCCAGTGTCGGCGATGGGCAAGCGGGTCTCGTCTCTTCCCAGCTGCAGCCCCTGAGCTGGTGGCACAACGGATTAATGAGGCAGCAGGGCTCTGGACGGTGAATGGGATCAATGAGACCCGATTGAGCTGTTAGCGGCCTTAGGCGGAGAGCAACTCTCAGGAGGAAAGGAAGGCACAGCGAGAAGACCTAAGACCGCAAGTCACTGTGCAGCACCCACCCAAGGCTGGACTCGGGGGAGGTAGACAAGAAGGTGTCTGTGACCAAACGGTTCCCACACCTGACAAGCTGCATCCGAATTGTTTTGAAAGGTGTCTTATAAAGTCAAGACCGGTTCCTAACAACCTAGAAGTGCCAGTGAATCCCGAAATGTTTGTTTGAGGGGAGGGAGTGTAAGGGAATGAGCAGAAAAAAGAAAGAGGAAGAGGAGGGTTGCCCAGTAGAATTTCAATAGAAAATGTGACTACCAGGATGGTTTCTGAACCTAGGCTCTGCTCAGGCACAGGCGGAAAACAACAGCTGTTAAAGAACTAAATATTATAGAAATAATCGAAAAATCATGCTCAATTATGTTTGAGGGTTAGTAGTCAAATGATGGCTACAAATTTTTTTTATGTTTCATGGCTTACTGGGATGGGGGGGCGGAAATCTACATGGAGTCTGAGCACCTCCGTTCCAAGCTACGATGCATATGTTTTTAAAATGTGAATGTTTCCACTTGAAAACTAGAGCATGACGGATTAAAATGCAGGCAAAACCTAAGGGAGATTTTCAGAATGTGCAAATGACAACTCCAGAAAATATATTAACCACAGCCACAGGCCAACGTTGTACTCAGTTTGAAATGCAGCTCTTCTTGGAAAATGCTTAATACAACAGTGAGAATCTAATGGAGGTTGGAATCTAAAAATCCACTTTCATGATATCTGCTGTTACAGTAATATAGACATACTGTAAATGTATTTTAAAATATATAGCCCGTTTAATTCCCCAGCTATAAATGGCTGAGAAATAGAGGAAAGAGGGAGAGAAAGAGAGAATATTACTTTTTCCCTCTTGAAGCAAATGCTTTATGAAGATCTCATTGGAATCCAGCAATGATTAATGTGAAGATTTGGGAGGAAATTTGGGGAGCTGTATTAAAGCCTAGATCTCAGGTTCATTTCGATCAGCCAGCCGTGAACTCTGGGCCGAATTCATTACACTTTAATAGTGCTGGGAGAGGAAGAAAATGCAATTTCTCATTCCATTAGAAAACTAGAAAATACTCTCAGCTTGTCCCCCTATTAAGATGTGGCAGGTGACAGGGCCATTCTGGGGGACACGGTCAATGGAATTACAGCACATTATTTTTGTTCGTATAAAATATTGAAAGGCAAGCCTGACTGTGCAGAAGTTATTTCACTGATTTGGTTTTTATGTAAATAAAATATTGAAAGTTAATTAATCCGTGCTAGAGACTAATGATTATGCTTATTATATTGCATTTGATCACATAATTTGCATGATTCTCACATTGCTGCTTAATAAGCCATTCCAGGTTATAAATAATTCTGAAATTGGTTTCTAATAATGGCATGCTATAAAAGGAATGGTTTTATTACACTAGCCAGAAAAGAGGAGCGATATCAGACATGGAATTGGTCTCCATGTGAGTAGAGATGCTTTAATAAATACTTAAAAGTATAATATATACCAAATAGAAATTAAAAAATAAGTATATTGGGTAATTTGGTGTAGAATCAAAAAACATCTTTAAAAATATACAATTGCAATGAATTAAATGTTTAGATAATTTTTAATCAGTGCGGTGGCCCACATACAGAAAAGAGTGTGTGGCAATCTGTTAACTATAAAGACAACTATGAAGTACTGATCATATAAGAACATAAACCAATTACTATTTAATTTGAATTTGGTCAAGGAGCAATGTTACAGTGAATTGTGAAGTAAATACATTTTCCATAAATTATTTTTGCATTACATTACATAATGTTAATCATTTTGAAAAGTTAATTAAGAAGGTTATGTTGATCTGATTACTTTTTAAACTATGGAACATTATTTTTTAAAATATTGAAATTGCCATTCTATTAAATTGTGCCTATCAGTAGGCTCAAGCTATTATCTTTGCTTGAGCATTATGCTGGAACAATTAGAGTACTTTGTCTCTTTCTTCTTGCATATTCTTTTCTGTACTTTTTGAAAATAACTATTTCTGTTACATAGCTTATATTTTATTTCATTTATAACCTTTTCTATTAAAAGAATAACTGTCATTAACCTTTGGAAGACCTAATAAAGTTTAATAGACCTCGTTTCCTTTTTCATAAAATCAGTTGTTCAATTATATTTTATTTGTGATTCTAAGTTCTATTTTAATTTAAACGAATTGCCAGTATGTCTAGGTTAAGATACAGTATTTTACCCTTTAAAACAAGAATTAATAGATAATATTTCTCTTAAGGGACAAAAAACAAAATTTATGAATTTCTAACCCACAAGATCGAACCTACAAGCAAGCATTGTCATCAGTGTTGATGGAAGTATTGAAATTGTATATTTATGTAAAGGTTAAAACTCAACTTCAGATATTTTTAAAAGATGAAAGGTAAAAATTTTGGAGAGCATTACTAATATATGTTTACAGTTATGCAGTTAGCACTCTTTCAGTGTGTAGTTTTAGGAGATCACTGTTTAGGCCTTTCACTAGCAAAACCACCCAGACTTACATTGAATAAAAATGTTAATCACTATGTTAATCAACATTACTTTATTAACTTGACCATTTTAAATTCCCAATGATATTCATTTACTATTAGAACAGAAGAAGTTGCTCTATTTTTTCCGTTTAGACTGTCTTTGAAATGCTGAATGGAGTGAGAAATATTCAACGCTGTGATTATGGACGCTCTCATCGCTTACTTCTTATATCAAATGTAAAGTAACTAAGATTTAAAGTTAATTTATAATAGTAGGTAGCGCTGGTTTAACAAACTGACCAGGTTGATGACACCCAGGAAATCGTACAAAAAACACCACCGACCAAATGGCAAAGGAAGATTTTTTCAGCACCATGGATAGCTCAAGAGTAAGTAGTGGCGCTTGGAATTTCACCTCTAGGCACCTGTCCGTAAAATATTCGATCCGTTGTCTTCATTCTTTCAAAAGGCGAACAAAAAAAATCTGGAATTCACTAGGCTTATGCTTTTATTCCCCAATTTTCAGAAAAGTTATAGGTGTGATTTTCTAGATTATATAAAATTTACAGCTTGGTGAGTGGTTGGAGGGGAATTAGGGGTCAGCAATGATTTCCTCTACTACCTGTCAACCTTTCCCGTCCCGAATGCCCCTTTTTCAGACCGGATATCTGCAACAGAAAGCCTTTATCCCCCTCCCCCACCCCAGCTTCCTTAGCGGACTCCAAAACAAAACGGGGCTCACCGGCTGTGGGAATCTCGTCAGCTGTCCCCTGCTTATTGGTAGACCGTGAAAGTTCAAACCCTTTGCAAACATCAAAACTAAGAATATTTTGACTGAGTGCAGAGGGAGGGCGATACTTAATAAAGCCACGCTGTGAAACATGGGTTTTTTTAAAGGCACCCATTCGCCTTATTTGTTCTTTTCTCTTGTTTTCTGTATAATTGTTGCATTCCTCCTTTTATCCAAACGCTTAACACAAACTCATTAGCGGGTGATACTTGTCGATAACAGAAGCAGGAGTTGAAGTGCGCGCTAGGCTGGGCCGCCGGGCGGCGGGGGAGGGGGGTGGCGCTTAGGTTGCCTTCTCAGGAGGAGGAGGCGAACCCTGCAGCCGGATAACGCTGGGCTTCGATTTTGAGGAGCTTCTTCCGGGTTGTCGCTATACCCGCCGGAGACGGGGGCCTTGCGTGTCCACTGGGGATGGCGATGGGGACCAGTTTCCGGGTAGAGAAGGAGGTAACTCAACACGGGAATGCATAGACAGCCTGAACGCAGCCAAGGATCTCCACAGGGGAAGGGAAGATACTGCTCCCTTTGCCCAAATCCTCCCGCCCCGTCCTTGCCTTCTGTCCCAGAGCCCAAGCCCCGCGTACCTGTACTCGGGACTCCGTCAGCCCGATACGCAGCGCCAGCTCCTCACGCATGAAGATGTCGGGGTAGTGAGTCTTGGCGAAGCTCCTCTCCAACTCGTTGAGCTGTGCGGGGGTGAAGCGCGTCCGGTGGCGCTTCTGCTTCTGTTGGCCCTGCTGCTGGCCGGCTTGACTGGGGTTCGGGCCGCCCTGAGGCCCGGGCTGCTTGTCCGGGTCTTTGGCGCTCACTGCCAGCGAGGCTGGAGTAGAGCCCACTGTGGTGATGTCCTCCCCGGGCAGCAGAGTGGCTCCCTCCACTGGGTCGGAGTTGGGCGCCAGGTCCCCTGGATGGCCCCCGGGGTCGGAGCTCCCCACGCCCAGCCTACACTTCACCGCCTCCCGGTGGCCCAGAAGCTCGGCGGCATCTTTCATACCTAAGGAGGCAAGGAGTTCACCGTCACTACTTTCTTGGCGATGCCAGGTGGGGCTGTCTTCCCCGTGCAGCCTTCCTTTCACCCGTCCTCTGCTCCCTCCACACCCACGCTTGCCCCTAGGAAGAAACTCCCAGGGTACTCAGCTGGGTTCCCAAAAATTTGTACAGTAGGTTTGGAATAACATCTCCCGGCCCCTTGCCCTCTCCGCAGCCGACTTCCATAGTAAACAGCACAATCTTTCGTCTCTCTCACAATAAAACACTCCCAGTCATGGCAATAAAACATGCCTCTGAATCCCTTTTATAAACCGTACCCCCGGCGCCCCAGAAAATCGAGAGCAAATCTTCGGACACAGGGGGCGGGGGACAGAAAGAAAATTAAACAATTCTTCGGTTGCTGCGGCACCCGCGCTTCGGAGGCCTGACGAACTCTACCTCCGGCCCTCAGCCGATTCCTTCTCACTTTCGGAAGATGAATAAACCTCCAAGCTTTCCACCCCCCGAAATCAACCCAAATCAGCTCCGCCTCCCCCTCAAATCAGAGAAAGTGTTTGGAAAATGGAGTCACATCCATCACCAAAGATTCCCAATCCGGAAACCCAGAGCCCAGCAACCCAAATAGCATTAAGGAAATTCGAATGAACTCTATGGACAACCGTTAATTAAACTTCAGAGATTTCAACTTTTCTTTCCAGAGAAATAAAAGGCGCATTCCTCTCAGCCACTGGCAACATCGAATCCTTTGCAGAAGGTGGGATGCCTGTGAGGTTGAATTTGGCTTCTCTCCTTCTCAACCAGCACACTTAGCAAATCCGCCTTGATGGCAGCAGCTTCTCCTTTATGCCAGATTTTTAAGAAATTCAACCACACTTAGAAAAGGAGGAGAGAAGACAAGAAGGTAGTGTGGAGAGAGAAACGGGGGGTGGGGAAGAAGGCGAAATAAATCCCAAATCAAAACAAACAGGAGAGGAAAAAAAGAGAGAGATAAACACCTCCAAACAAATTATCACGGGGTATATCGCCTTTCAGAAAAAAAAAAAAAAAAAAAAAAAGGCTGGGGGAGGGTGGAAGGGAAAAATAAGAAAAACAAAAAGTAACAACATTCTCCAACTCCTTTCTTGGATCTACATATTCCATAGATTTTTTTTAAGGCGATGTTAAATCAAATTAAACTTTAATGCAGCACAATTACTTTTAAAGAAATTAGTCCATTTAGGTCGCATTAAGGTAAAATAAGGAACAAATTGACAATTTCCTGCCCCGGCTTCTCCTGGCCGCCCGGGCGAGAGGCGCGCACTCACCTAGCCTGGCGTCCAGGAGGTCGGCGTGAGACAGCATCGCGCACCGCTCCAGGGCGAAAGCTGTTCCCCCCCAAATTTTAGCGGCTTTAAGTTATTTAAAATAGATATAAGCTATAAGCTATACGATATAGATATATATAGATCACCTAAATGAAAGAAAATTCGGTTTGTGGTTAAAAAGGGGGCTTCTTGCATTATAATGTCCTTTAGAGAGACGGGGAGGTGCTTAACAGTTGAATGAACCCGTGAGCAGCTCGGCGAGGGGACCAATCAGGAGGGCAGCCTGCAAATGTCAGCGCCCGGAGAGTCCCCCACTCCGCCCGCCCGCCTGCGCCCGCCCGAAGGAGGCGGCGGCGGCGGCAGCCCTGGCAACTCCAGCCCGGAGCAGGAGCTAAAGCAGCGTAAGCCGCCTCGGCCTCGCCCTGAGCTTCTGGGCCGGGTTCCCGCTAGTTCTTCCCTGCGATTTTCTCCAGGTTCCCTTTTCCTTCCCCTTGGCCAGCCCTGAGCTCTTCAAAGGCGTAGTCTGTGCCTCTTAGCTAAAACCTTACTGGGGAAGGGGGAAAGCAGGGGCCAGAGCCGGCTGTGACCCTGGCGTGACCCGAGAGTCGCCCCCACCTGCGCGCTCTGGGCTACACTGGTCTGCAGCTTACACCCGCCCGCCAGCCCAGGACGCGACGAGGGCACACCGCGGCCTTCAGACAGCGCCTAGACTTCGCCACCGCTCAGCAGGCCTGTGCCTAGAGTCCAGGCGCCCTGGCTGTGCCCCGGGGCCTATACGAGCCCCAACCCCACAGTGGGCCTAGAGAGCAAAGAGGATTCGACTTCCTTGGCACCGCCAGCGCCCGCTGTCTGCTTCGGGGACCCTCGCGGAGTGTGGGTTCGAGCGCCCTGCACCCTTCTAGAGGGGTGTCTTCCCAGCTCCTGCTCTTCCGCTTGGGCCACGCTCGCATCCTCGCCCCTAACCCGCTCTTTTGGTCAAAGTTTCTAAGTTCAGCTCGGCTCCCAACTCCACTTAAGGCTGTAAATAAAGTTAAATGCTCTTTATTTTCCTCTTGAATATGTTAAACTACTTGAACAATTTAAAGTGCTTTGCACAAGTGAAGCGAACCATTTCTAATGTTCTGATTTTTCAGAGCCAGCCAACAACAAAGTTTAGATTAGTAATATATTTCTAACCAGAGTAATTTTCAAGATCATTAGGCATTTATGTAATTAGTGCCAAATCTATAAGCTTTTATTACGATTATTAGAGTAAAATCAGTATAAATTTGTACTAATTTACTACTGTTTAGACTTGGCTGTCAAGCCTAGAGGTTCTTATTGTAAATGATAACTGAGGAAATTAAGTGCAAAATTCTGTACCGTTTCTGATCTGCTCCTAAACAATCCGTTTCAATTGTATTTGTAGCAGAACATAATGCCCTTTTAAAGTTATTTGACTTGTATTTTTATTTGCAACACAAGAAAAATGCCCTCTACCCAGTCACAATGAAAACTGATATTTACTACTCCCAACTTGATTAACATTGATTTTTAATTCGAGAGTGATGCAATTAAGATTATTCATTTAGTGCAAATAAACCTTCCACAAAAGGGTGGCCCTATGAAGTCTGTTTTAAATAATACTGAGCAAATGGCTTTTTTTGTTCGTCGTCCAATTGACTTACACAAAACATTGAAAATGCTGCCTGAGAGCAGATGCGAGAGTAATTGTGTGTGTGCGTGTGTGTGTCCTCAGCTGTATGTGTGACAGGGACCGAGCAAGGAAGGAGACAAAGGAGGCAGCAAAGCGAACTCTGGGGCAGTTTGTTTCCTCTTTCCCTCCTGTAGCCTGTTCGCCTCCCGTGCACACGTGCGCGCGCACACTTATGTACACTCGTGTGAATGCAAGGTATTGGCCACACCAGTTTCTACTGAGCTGCGGAGACCGCATCCCCGGAAGCTCCGGGCCCGACTGGGCTTCAGCTGCCGCTGCAGCTACTACTAACGCGGCCTATGTGGGGCTGGGCGCCGGGGCCGTGGATTCTGGCTTGCGCCATGTCTGGGAGCCGCTAGGATTTTTAGCAAGCGCCCGCAGCTCTTTTGAGAAACGCTTTGCCTGAAAAGAAAATTCCGAGACCTAAAGCAAACAAAGTCTCCCCAGTAAAAGCTTCCTTTGTCCCCAAATCTAGAAGCTAGAGCTCTGGGGGCGCACAGAAAAAGGAAGCCGCACAGCAGCCCAGGGCGGGGCCGCGTGCGTTCAGGACGGTGGCTCGGAGTACCAGCCTGCGCACGTCCAGGGACTCGCAGGAGGTTTCTGCCCACCTGGGTGGGGTTTGCAGAGTGTCCACACCGGTATGCAGGAGCAGAAGTGGGGAGAAAGTGGCTAAGGAAGAGACCGGGAGGCCTGGCCCCGGAACCCTGCTCCCAGAAATAGGCAGGTCCGCCAGGCCCGCACTGCCTGGCTCCATACCCTGTCTGGAAGGAGGGAGAAGAGGCCGCGACCTGCGAATACGAGGATAAGGGCTCCGGGCCGCGCGTCTCCACGTGCATGCACACACGCGCTAGTGTCCCCATCCCACAGTCGCCCCGGAACGGCGCCGGCTGTGCATCGTCCTCCCACACGCACTCGGTCGTATATTCTGTTTTGTTGTATCTTTCAGGTCGATAAATAAATGTGTAATAGTTAATGTGAAGACACATCAGAGTAATAACAATGGGACGAAATCAAAGGATTATCCATCTCTGTTAGTAACCGCTGAATAACAATGTTGCGGCGTGATTGATAGCCCGCTTCATTTTATGACTTTTCTATTGGTCTTGATTTTTATAGCAGTATAAACAAACTAAATCATTTCTTCCAAGACTTCAGAGCATAAGCATCTCAGAAAGGGGGGCAAAGGGAGAAAGGAAAGGAAAAAAAGAAAAAGAAAGGGAAATCATAGTGGGAGGGGTGCTGGGGGCGGTGTCGGGCGTCGAGGCGGGGAGGGCGCGGGCTGGAGCTGGAGTCAGGTGCCGGCCGCCAGCAGGCAAGACGAGGAAAACGACAATAGCCTGGGTGTAAAATGCTCGCCCCTGCTCCCGGTTCCCTCTCGGCAGCTCGTTTCGGCCAATGTCTGAATCCACCTGAGCAACGCCTGAGATGTATTTACCAGAGTTTTATTCCCCATCATCTTCCCACGTTCCTGGGGCAGCCGGGAAAGTGCCGGTCAAGCCCATTGCTGTTGATAATTTAAGGCATTTCCCACATGATCATGGGAACTGAAGTCCCTAACAAGGCGAGGCATTAGCGCAAAGGCCCCCAAATCTTCAGAATGACAAGAATGTCTTCAGAAATCACTTGAAAGCAAAGTAAAAGGATTTTCTATGACGGATCCAGTGATTTTTCCTCAATAAATAGGTTTTAGATTGTTACACACACGTAGAAGTGGAACAAAGGGAACTACCAGAAAATATATTGGTTGCCCCTAATAAAATTTATTTAGACAGTTTACTTCTCATAAAAAATAGAGATTGAATTTTGTACAAGATCCTGCCAAGGGACAATGCACAGGGAAATCATTTTTTTTTTCTTCTCCTTTTCCCCCCCTTCTCTTTTCTAACGAAGCACAAAGAGCGTTCACAGGCCAGGGAATCGACTCCTGACTCCTGCCGCCCTGCGTGCCCAGACCGAGCCAGAGAACTCTGTAGCTGCGAGGAAAGTCGGCTTGCAGGGACACACTTTAAAAAAAAAAAAAATCTTGATGACTGATAATATAAATTACAAGCACAGCAACTACCAAATTAATGTCTTTACTCCTCCTTTGCCGTCCGGTTCCAGATCAAGACTTAGAAATGTGTGTCTAGACTGGAAGGTGAGATGGGATGGGAGACCCGGGCAGCTAGTGCCTTCCAGAGGAATTTGTGTTGATTAGATTTGTAATTCTGATTTGTTCTCTAATCGTATTTCTGCATTCATTGTGAATCCTTTGTAGACACAGAAAAAGACAGAATAAAAATATATACCGGGTGCTGTGGGAAGAATTGAGTAGTGTGCCCAGAGCCCTAATTACTTTTCCTCTTACAGAAACCTTGGAGGTTTATTAAATGTAACTTTCGGCGGCTTGGGTTGTTTGTAAACTGCTCTCTTTTCTTTGCAGACAGTGGGCCGAAATATGGCGCGTTATTATTCACATTCCTGCTATTAAATGCTGAATTGTAACATTGTTCCCTTTAATGAGGAGCTCCTCCCTCAATAATTAACGATCTCACATTTTCCTATTTTCTTGCCTGATGAAAAGAATCAATTTTAATTCGTGGTAAATTACAGCCATGCTTTTGGGTATTATTTGCTTACAGAAAACAAATCAAGTGACTTGCACGCTCCTGTTTACTTTTCCAGATATGCAATAATCCAAACGCAACGGCAAATCAGATCGTGTGCCTCAGGCCTATCTCAGAAATGGAAAAGAATAAAGGGTGGGGACACATACTAGAGGAAAATAAGGACCTCTCAAGCCCAAAGTGCTCGCAACAATGATGATCACTTTCCCCGCACATCCTGCCCTGGGTACCACAACCTACACTCCCCCCCAGTCCCCACTCTCCCAACCCGACCCTGTCCCAGACTGGGGTTGGTGGTCTCCATCTGGCCACTCTAAGAGTTTGGGACTGCTTGGTGTAGGGCTTATTTGGGGGAGTCATTTTGAGGGTGGGGTAACTAGAAGGAAAGAGATCTGGGAGGGCGGCCAAGTCTCTGTGAAGGGGTAAAAGGCACTTCCGCACTTCTTTCTCTACATAAAAGAACTCTCTTGAGATTCCCAGCAATAGAGACCACAGCCAAAGAGGCTTCTCGGCTGAGTGCCCCTGCCCCGCCGTAGCGAAAGGGTCCTCCGCTTGCCTTTGGAAGAGGGCTCCCGAGGGCAAAGTGAAGCGTCTTTAACCCCTCTCAAACAGGCCTGGGCCCAGCCCAGGTGTGCATCTCCCCGGCCTCGGAGGGCTGGGAGCGCAGGAACTCCCGGAGGCTCTCAGCCAATTGTCCGTTTGAGGTCGCTAAGGGGGCCTGCGGCCGCAACAATTCTGCCTACAGGAGCCAGGATCCCCAACCTCCCTCGGAGCCAAATGCCAAGCAGTGTTCAGGAGCCACACTCGAGGCTTCCTTCCTTTCTTTCTGTTTTAAGCGCCAGGAGCAGGCTGCGTGTGTATGACACGTGTAGTTGTGTGTGCTTTTGCGAGTAGTGCGTGTTCATTGCCTGTTCGCGCTGCGGAGGGGCAGAAACCTG